CCCCCCTCTTTCTTCTCTTCAGCTTAGGATAGCAGTGCATTTATTTAAGCTCGGGGAAGATTAGAGGATCCGGCTAGAGAAAACATCAAATGAGGATGTGTTTTCAGAAGTGCAGTGAAAGCCTGACAGGTTTATCCAGTACAGGGCTGCATTCTCAGCAAAGTTGCCCTGCACGTTACAGAGGTGAAAAATTTATTTTAAAGGAAGGCAAGCAGTAACTGCGGACAGACTTTGCTTCTACCGAGAGGATACTTCCAAAGGGAACAAACCCCTCGGCGAGCCAGGCTGGTTTATATCTTAACGTGGGATAGGGAAGTCAGCCGTGGATGTGGGCAGCTTCCCACTCACCCCCGAAATTTAATTTCAGGTATTGCAGAACTGCTGTTTCTCATTTCAAGGAGATAAGAAACGGCTCTTTACTGATTGCCTGTGCGGAATCCCCGGGTGGGCTTTGCTTTTCGGGATGGAGCAGAAGGCAACAGTAGAGCAGGGGGGTGCACTGCTCGACGGGAGAAGCATTCTGCAGGACGAAGGGCTGCAGCGGTCCATGCTTCCCTCTCAAATTCCTCCAGGTTTCAGATATTCCCTACCTCCTTTAATTCATCGCGACCCCTAAACTGACAGCAAACCCTCTTCGTGCTTACAGAGATTCAAGTAGTTAAGGTTGCTCTCAAAGAAACGTCAGAAATCGTGCTTCGGGATGAAAAACCACACGCCCCCCCCACCCCCCCCAAAAAAAAAAAAAAATCAACTAAAAAAAAAAAGAAAAACCAAACCCAAACTACCTGGCTGATCTCACCACCCAGCAGAGCAGCCTCTTTCTGTCTTGGTCTCTGCGATGACCTTCCCAGACAGACAGAAGCGCAAAACCCGGCTTAGCCCGACTAAAGTCAGCAGCCGGAGAGTCGAAGGGACCAACAAACTGCTTTACTCCATCCAGCAGCTGTTTTTCTCATTAGCTTCCATTGTTCTAGGGCCGTCTCCAAGTCCCGGAGCAGATGCAATTAGCAGTAACTAATGACAGATCTCAGTCAAGCACATGGCGAAAGACTGAGCCTCCTTAATTTCATGTAATAGGAAAAGCTGCAGCGGGATTAAGGATGCATGGGGAAGAAAAAAAGGTCCACAGCACGTTTTGGAGGTCACTGGAGTGGATTTCTAATCCACACCAGAGTCATTAGGCTACAAGGGTGGGACAAAAGCGGGTGCGGTTAAAGGACAGGCGAGGTGGAGCAGGTAAACTCACTTATCTCGGCTCCGATTTCAAAGGCTCTGGGGGGTTTTGGTTTGGTTTGGTTTGGGTTTTTTTTTTTCTTCCCCGGCGATCGTGCCTCACAAGGTCTTGCAGGCAGCCCACAGTACACCCCTCCCTTGCAGCGTCTGAGCTTCCAAACGACGATTGCACATACCTAAGCCGTCGAAACGCAACCCTAATTTCTAGTAAGTCTTCAGGAAAAACGAAACAGAACTGAAACAGCCATGTACTCCGAAACACTTCTCGTCAGTGCTGGGCTCTGTGGTTGAGCAAGAGTGGTTTGGTTGTTTTTTCCAGGGCTGGAAATGTCAAAAAGTGACAGCGACCTAATAGTCAGAGTCCACTCTCAGATGACTGTTTTAGCGTAAAACTTAGTCAAAAAAAGGGTTTAAGGCACTGCAATGAGATCAAGCAGGTTAGACTTCAGCTCCCAACTCTATCACAGACTTCCTGTGTGACCTTGGGCAAGTCTCCATCCCTCTGTAGCTCAGCTCTTCATCTGCAAAACAGAGACATTGCCCCTCTCCCCCTTTGGTTACTTTAATTGGAGTCCGTGAAGCATGGACGATTACAGTGCATACACGTAGTTGCAACCAGAGCTGGGCTCAAAGAAAACCACGGGTATGTCTTGGTGTATGTTTCAATGACTTTTTCTAAGCAGTTCTCTTGGCTTTTCATCTCCTATAGCGGCTGAATCTTTTAACTACAAGAAGTTTTTCGAGATGGTAGGATTGAAAAAGAAGAGTCCAGAAGATGTGAAGAAGGTTTTCCGTATTCTTGATAAAGACCGAAGTGGCTTCATCGAAGAGGAAGAACTAAAGTAAGTAAAGATATGTCCTTTCTCAAATAATCTTGCCTTAAGAGTGTAATTTCCTGTTTTCTTTTTTTTTTTTTACAACACTCTAGATAATAGCATACAATCCAATCTCTTGACTAGTATTTGTGTGCAATAATCAGTTTTTTGCTGATTACATGATCCCAAGTGTGTTGGAGGTAGCTAGTTGTAACTTTTATTGCAAGATCCCTGAAACACATGAATGATCAATACCTTACAGATAGTTCTTGAGTTAAATGCAGTTTCAGAGTAACGCGCTCCTCCTGAATGTTAAAGAAGGTCAACAACAGCAGATACAACCCTGGATTCCAACTCATGTATCAAATCAGTGGTACAAATAAGTATGAAGTGAAACTGCTCTGGAAAAAAAAAAACTTTCCTTTTTTCCATGCCTCCTCTTCAGGTTTGTACTGAAGGGCTTTACCCCAGATGGAAGAGACCTATCAGACAAAGAAACGAAGGCTCTTCTGGCTGCTGGAGACAAGGACGGTGATGGTAAAATTGGCGCTGATGGTATGTGATTAGAGGAGTACACTTTGACAGTAACAATCGAATATTGCTCTGACATACAAGAACTGAGGAAATCTAGGAATCACTGGGGGCTGTGACCTTCTGAAGGGCACAATTTGGATTTAAGGAAATGCCAAGTCCTGCTACATTTGCCATACCTTGCTTGCAGGCTTTAGGGGAAACAGGAGCGGAGTGCTGACACTAGAGGGGGCAAGAGTTTACGGAAACCGAGATGTAGTTAGGGCAAACCACAGCACAGGACTAAGGACTGATCCAACTTCTACTTCAGTTAGTTTAATTTTTCTGTTGGTTTCAGTGGAGTGAGGATCAGCACACTGAGAGTTCAAAGATCCGGGCTTGACTATAAAACTTGGAAAAGAGAAAGAAAAAAGCTGAGTACCAGCATTTCTGCTTGATTATTAGTAAATAGGAAAGTCATGCATGACTTAGCAAAGCAATCGTCTTAAAAATCAAAGTACAGTCAGTCTGCTACAGAATTTCCATACAATAACTGTCTATCCAGCTTTTGCTAGTGTTTATGTGGGTCTTCACAGCTAAGAAAGCTTATCGCTCTGTTTTACTAAATATGAGAACTACAAGAAAAGAACAACTTTTCCTCTCCCAGCATTGCTTAAAAAATTACTGCTGTTTTCTATTTCCCCTTGGGATGAACCAAATTAGCCCACATACAAAATTTCTCTTCTTTCTGTATCCCTGAGACACACTGGAAGAGACATGAAGAGATGCATTTCTGAATTAAATCTTTCTGCATTGCTGGAGATAGTGGCTGAAGATTGTGGCCAGAGTACTGAATCACCTAGACAGCCAGCAGTTGCTAAGTTTTCACCATATTGATAAGCCATATGATACGCTGAAATCTAAAAAAAAAAATCTAAAAAACCCTCATATCTCTCTGCATTACCTGATCTCTGGGATTTGTAAAAAATGTTCCCCCCCCCAAAAAAAAAAAAAAAAAAAACAATTAAAAAAGGAATAAAAACCAAAATACGGTTAACTAACATAGTCTCCTAATTTAGAAGCTGAAAAAATGACACACAAAATCAGACACTGACATATGAGTCAGGTGATATGTTAGCTAAACTGCCTGTTCACAGCACACTGGCATATCAGTGACTATGACCCTGGTTTTACACTAAAGCCTCTTAATTTCTCAGCTCATGATTATCCTATGGTTGCAAAGGAGCATCTAGGGGAAATTCCTGCTAAACTTTAGCAGTGCTACTGAACCCAATGGGTGTGTCATTATTTGAAATTTCATGCTTTATTATATGGATCCCTCTTATTCTTACTAAAATTAGTGGCAGCTGTACTAAAATCAGTGGGCAAGATTTTCAAAAGAAAACTTGATTCAGGTAAGTAAGCTTACAGCTGATCCACCAACCTCACATCAGATATGTTTTCAGTTATTCCCAGAAGGCTGCAAAACAAAAGCAGAATCAGTTGGAATAACAGAACTATATTGCAGTATGATTTTGGCTTATACAAGAGAATACAGCATTAACTTTTTTATTTAAGATTGACCATAACTTTTTTTTTTAAAGTTGAAACAATGCCTGAAAGTCAGTACATTGTAATAAAGCGATATGAAACACCTCTTCTCCTTATCTCTTTCTTCTGCAACTTTTACCCTTCCTTAACTTTGAACTGGAATTACTCTGAATTTATACTCGATAATGAGAAGAGAATGAAGGCCTTTTTTCTTTTGCTTCTTTGGCTATATCCGTACTGTATAACATTATCGGTTTCTTTTCCATTTCTTAAATTTGACTCCAACAGCAAATTGTTACACCAGAAAGGCTTGAAATACATGCAAAGTTAACAGTTGGGACTGTGACCAAAGGATGAGGATGACAGATACTTTCCAGCTTTTCCTTTGGTTCACAAATCCAATTCCAGGTTATGACTGCCTATGTAAATAAAATGTAAAGTCACAAATGTACATCGCATTCATATTCAGTATTGCAATGCTGTATTTCTGTTGCAAACCATCTGTTTCTTTCCCTGTAACTGAATTGTCAGGCATCACTTTGACCTCTTGTTTCAAACATCAGCTTCGTAAATCACTAAATGATCACAAACAGGCGGCCTTTCACAGGGGTTAATGTTAATTCACTAGATGGCCCTTGAACGCTGTCTCTCAGGAGCCCATAGCAGTTGTAAGAACTGATCTTCATGGATTTTATCATCACAGAGCCACCTTTCTCCGATGTATCATTACAAACGTTAATCCCCACCTAATTAGCCTTCTTCCAGTTAGGGTCTCATATTACAAATTTTCTCTTAGGTCTCCTGCTTTAAACCTTTTATCATTCCTGCAAGGCCGTTCAGCTCAGAAGTAGTCTCACCAGCTTACCTCTTGTCCGATCAAGATTTGTAATTTGTGGCTGATCTGCCAGTTTCAAACAGTTGAAAACTTGCAGCCTGTTCATGCAAGACATGATCATCTTCTGTGTGATGTCAAGCCCCTTGCATCTTCCATTGATTTGAACAGAAGATGACGAATCTGAAAAAAATTGCAGGTCAAGGCCAGGTTACCTAATAAAACTACAAACATTAGCTTCCAGATGGATTGGGAAGTGATGCTGAAGCAGCTCTGTCAGCTTCAGGAGAATGTTTATAAGAAAGAGGAGAAAAGAAAAGGAAGATTTCTGCTCACAGAAATCTATTCTACATATGTACATCATGCCTTAAAATTTCTTGATATTAATGACTTAATAAAATACATAGAGAATTTTCAAAGATCATGCACCCTAGACAGAACAAATCCAAATTTTTATTCTAGTAAATCAAAATATTTTCCCTGATACAGCTCAACTTCTGCAAATATTTTTAAATGTTTCAATTATTTTATTTAAATGTTGTAAAAATGAGACATCAAGCATTCAAAATTACAACTGATAAGTCATGACCTTGCCACAGGTAAAAGTCACGACAAAGAAGAAAAATCTTTTGGAAATCCTTCTTTCCTTATCCCTTGTTGTGCTCTTGTATCTTCTAAAATAAATTAGCGTAAGTCATTACTTATGAAGTTTCCTAAACAGATTTGCTATTGTACAGATAATGTAAAAAACACAATCTGATGAGAGAAATCATTACCCTACAACATGTTCTCTGTAATTATATCTGTCATTTCAGCAAAATACTACAGGGTATACATTAGGCTGGTACGTACTACTAAACTATACCGAATACAGTGAAACAATCCTCTCCTTTTAAGTCAGAGCTTTGACACAGGGCAGCTAGTAAATTATGTGACATGACAAAATAGTCTAAATCCTTGTAGTTAAAAACCATTATTTGTGCAAAGAAAGATATAACTTAATTTTGTTTGGAAGGAGAATTACGACTGGAAAAGAGGACATAGTCAGTCACAAGGATTCTTTCACTAACAGGCCAGTCAGAGGCAATAAACATTTACAAGACTGACCAACAGGTAGAGTTTAATACATAGTGCCTTATCTCAGAAGTGCTGCATATATGAATACACTTTGTAACAATGCCTCACAAGCCACTTGTGGTTGGGCTAACCTTCATAGGAAAACAAACAGTGAACTAGTTTACAAGATTATTCAGCTGGAACATCTTTGAAATATTTAAAGTATATTGAAAAACCTGGAAAAAGTACAAAGCGTATAGCAGTTATTCATGAAAAAGTATTTTATGCTTTGCTGGCTATCAGAAAGCACTAGTGAAATATACTGTCGTTAAGTGATAACATCACTATCATAACATATTATAGAAAATATTTGGCTGCAAGTCTAAATAACCTTTTCCAAATATATTCCATAGATACAAATTATTATAAAAAGGATTTAATTTAGCTGTAGCAAGTATGACAACTTGTTCTAATAGAATATGCATAGTTAGTTTTCCCTTTCGGAAAGGTTTCATCCATTGCAGTTAATGTTTCTCTCTGCAGGATTTATTCACACAGTGATTTATAATCATAACCTTTCTCTTTTTCTGCCCAGAACAGTCTGGGTTTCTATCACAAGAGCTTCATGTTATCTCTTAAGTTCCATTTGCAACACTTTCAATCTATGTCCCCACCATGTACAGGATTTATACATGTTTTGTGTTAAGTAATCTGCATCACTAATCCTAATTTGGATTTACATCTTTCAAAATGATGGATAAATTTGGATTTAATTTAAACCCTCTGACACTTTTATTTCTCAGTTGGGTTTGTCAGCATTTGGCAACATGTTTTTTGGACACGTCATCAAAAGTGCTATCTGTTTGCACACCCCAGTCAGTAAAGATCTCCGTTTAGTTTAGTTTAGTTTAGTTTAGCATTTTTCAACTGAACATCAGAATGTTCTTTAAAATACCTAATTTTCATCTTCTATCTTTTTTAGTTGCAAGACATGACTCTTCATTATGTCAAACTTCAATCATTTTCTCTTGAGCCTTTACAGATGACTGCCTCCCCTATTTGTCATTTTCCTCTCAGCTGATTATGTTAAACCCATAAACCACTCTCTCCGTATACCCTCTAATCCCTTTATCATCTTTGTTGCCGTTCTTGGGATTCCCTCCAGTCTGTCATTTTTAACGCTCTGAGGCACACACAACTGTGCAAGGTATTCTCATGTGTAACTCTTCCAAGGTTAGACAGAGTTAGGAATTACAACCTCCTTGGGTAATACAGTATTCAGAGTGCAGAATGCCAGGCAGCTATTCACCAGGATAGAAATGTGCCTTTTCCATGCTTTTATCACCCTGCTGAAAGGCATTATATATATACCAAAGCATGAAATAACCCCAAACTGCAGATAGATACATTTATGTAAATATTATGGATGTAACACTAATAAAAGCCACAGGGCAAAATCCTGGCCCTCTGAGATCGCAGGAATTTTTCTCGTTATCACCAATGTGGTCAAGATCGCTACATAGGTTGGTGTCAGCCTTCTGGTTTTATAACCTGTCATTTTCAGTCAATTTGCCGTTACAAAATTGAGTTTAAATGTAATGTATTTATAATACAGGGACACAAATACTCTGAAAGACTCGTTAATGAGTCTCTTTGCCTAACTCTGATATAAAGGAAATTTATCTCACTGCAAAATTAAATTTCTAGCTCTTGCCTCCATCCCATTGAGATTTACAAAGGAGTAACAGGGAACTAATCAAGTTCTTCAGATGAATAGTGGTGGACAGTCTTGACAGTCTGGCATGTATAGCGTTTCTCCCTTACCCTCAGAAAGTCCTTTCATTTCACTGTAAGATTTCCCAAGTCATACTTTCCCTTTAATTAACTTGGATTTCTTTGTTCTCCTGTAATTGTGATGTTTCTGCTACACCAGTGACTCTATATAATCATTGTAATATGCTTCCTCCTTCTTTACATTTTCTTTTTTTTTAATATTTTACAAAAATTTTTCCCTTCTCCAGAATTTGCAACTATGGTGGCTGAATCATAAAGGCTTTGACCAATGCAAACCCTTCACCCATTCTTCACTGCCCAATTCCAAACACCTCCTGCTGACTGCTTTGGCTCCTGTTCTATTTATTTATGTTATTTTATACTCCAGCTCTGTTCTCTGCAATCCTGCAACTCTGTAATCGTGCTGAAAGACACTGTTAAAATAATAAAGGTCACATCAATCTGGGCTTTATTCTCTCTCACTATAACTTGTTTCTTATTTCATGTAGGCTTGGCACACACTGAGAGAAAATTTTACTCTTTTTTGCTGACATTCCTGCTGCTTTATCCCTAGCTAGGGTAAAGTGGGAAGAAATTTTAAAAATTATTTGGGATAAAACATGCATATAATGAGTCATTCAGTCCAAGTTCTGAACTGTGGCAAAATTGACTGCATTATTTTTAAGCCATCCCTGCTAAATGGATGCATACTCATAGCCTGGAAAATCTCTAGTGATGGCAATTACCCAACTTCATTTGGCAGTTTGTTCTTTCGACTTAATCAGCGTTATAGCTAAAAAGTATTTCCTATTATTTAACCTACATCTCCCCTGCTGCATTTTGGTGATCAGTAAATTGATCCTTGTCTGTATCATTTGTTAAATTTGCTCAGTGCAGGGGGATTTTTAGATAAAAGGTTTGACAGGAATATCAGTTGGTGCCAATCATGCATGGGGGTAGCTTCGTAAACTATTAAAAAGCAGTCACTTCTACAATATAGGATATGTTTACTAGCAATGTTACACAACTATCTAGGACAGGAAAAACAGAATACTCATAAGAAACAACAGTATGAATTCAGGAAAGGGGACACCAAGATTCAGGTGTGATGCTCCTGTTGACACTCCCACTATTAAAATAGTCTATCAAAAAATCCCATAAAAACCATTTCTTCTGAAACTTTACCAGAGAAGTGAATATCTTTTTTTGAGTTCCGTATAGGAAATTGAGACTCAAGCTAAGGAGAAGACTAGCCAAGAGTAAGCGTATGACAGAGCCAAGAGCTAAACACTTGTTTCCCAAATCCTGTTCAGTAACCTTGGCACCAAGCTCGTGCGTTTTCTCTTCGGGTTTTTTTTGGTTTTGTTTTTGGTTTTTTTAAAGCAACAATTAAAGGGGGAGGGGGGAATCTTTTTAGGCAACATCTTCCCCACATCTTGACAGAATATTGATTACTACTGCAATAAAAAGGAAGGATATTTGCCATTTCTGGATTCCAAACTATTCCCTGCAGCAATGATACCTTATTCCATTCAGATTTATTACCACTAATTTAGCGTAAACAAAAAGATAAGGCGGAAACGCTGTCACCATCACATTGCACAGAACACCGTTCTCTGCCATAGCAATTACCCAACGCGACTCGGGAAGCCGATAAACACTCCCTAAAGCCATTCTAGATTTTCACTCTGTAGTAACTCACAAGGAAGACTTCTTGCTGAAGCTGCTGCGTGTTCAAAAGAAAACCCTTGATTTTGCACAACGTATATATGAATCTGACGAACGTATTGATTTTTAAGTATTCTAAATAAAGCAAATAAAACCGGATTGCAATGAAGCGAGTGTATTGACTTCTTTTTCTCGGCAGCTGCTGACCTCCAGTGGCCACAACGCGTAATTACAAGAGTATACAGGGCTACCGAAAACACATTGGGAACTCCGCTATTGAAATATCATCAAGGTCCATGGAACCAGAGAATCGGCATAAAAATCGCTATAAAAACCAAGCCCTTTAGAGTTTCTTTCCATTCTTTGAACCTGCAAGGATTTATATTTTAATGCTTCACTGGATGGCGTGAAAGCTGAAATTTTATCCAGGGCTTTAACAAAAAAATAGCACAATAGGACAAATAGCAAATAAACACAGCCATTAATGAGTCAAAAAATTATTTATAGCACATTATGGAAAACAAAGTAAGTTACCACAACATTAATGTGGATATTTTACTGGCATAAAAGTCTGAAGACCCCAATGATTCCTATATCAATCTTCACGTTATTCCCTCAATCACACCTAACCAAGCAACACTGAGTGCCTAATTTGGCCTGAAGTTTTTCACCTATATAGTAATGGATAAGATGAAAGTAAATATCCTTTACTTTCAAACTGAAAAAGTTACAAGGGGTAGAGAGACCTCGAAAATACCGTCTTTACTTTTCATGGTGACACTACCTGATATTCTAAACATGCATTTGGTCAGTTTATTCAAATATGCATCTGGTAGACTCAGAACCTATGCAATCAGAATTCTCACAAAATCTGTTTTAAACCACTTTTTTTGATAACTGTATTTTAAATTCAAAGTTCAAATGTCAATATTTCATGTCTCTATCACTGAAGAAAAAAAAAATATTCAAATAGGTGTGTAATATAAATAAATCTCTGCCTAAACATAAAATGACTGTTTTATCAATTATCATGAAACTATTACTTTTTTCCACTGCCGGCTCTTTGATGTTTATCTTGGATTCTTACTTTTCCCACCCAAATTCATTCCAAACCTTCCCCAAATCTTGAATTGTTCCATTTCCAATTAACAAAAATCTTCTGAAGAAAGCAGAATTTGCTACAAAATTTAATCAGGCTTTCAGCAGAGTGTGGATTACAGTATGCTTGACAAATACAAAAGATCCACATTACCCTGCAATGTATTATTTCATGAAGAAAGATGTTTTAATTTTCACACCCATAAGCAAAGGAGCAAAATTAAGTTTCTCCAAGAAATATTTCTTAATTGGCATCTTACATCTTCTTCTTTGTCCCGAACAGTAAGTGTTCCATAATTTTCTCCCCATTGTAACACAGTAGAAGTTATGAAAAAAAAACAAACAACTCCAGCCATCATGTTGAAGACAAAATTTTAAATAATCAGTACACATCCTTTCTTTAGATTCATAGCCAATGGTCTGTAATGAGATACAACTGGATGATTTAAGATATGTAAATTATGTTTACGCGTGCAAAAAAAAAGACACTGCTTGTTCACACTGGTATTAGATATTGCTAGGAAAGAAATTCAGCACACTCTCAGCTACAAGTCAAAAGGAAGAAGAGCCAAATCCTCAAGTCACAGACAAACCATCATTTCCTGACAAACGGCATTAGCATTTAACAAAAAAGGTTTGTACCAACAGACCGACACCAACTCTTAACGTTTCTCGCATCACCATTCACCATTACCAAACCCTTAACCAACAAATTTATAATTGTTAATGCTTTAGGGGTCCTGCCAAGCTCTTAATGGAGTTTCATGGATCAGCAATTTTCCACATGTCTTATTTTGGGAATCAATGGACTGGAGGCCGTAACACCTGTTCACTCTGCAGAAGCTGAGCTAGGATTTATATTTACAGTCTATCCACCAGTCCTGAGCTCAACACTGCCTAATGTCATATGATTGCTTCCACATTCTGTTTATTTCATCAAAGCAAAGCTTGCCTGTTTGCTTCTTCTGCCTCTTCTGACTTTGCATCTTTTAGGGGGGGAAGTAAGGACACTTTTTGCTAGTTTCTAAAAACTTTCGAAGACTGGAAACGCAGTTCATGTTCTCTTTTCCAGCAACACACACATAGCTTCTGTGCTATAGTAATTAAACATTAACAATACTCTGTCCAAACCAGAGTTAATATTGTTATGAAATTTAAAACTGCGGCATTGCACAATATTTGCAACAAGTTCTGCCTCAACAAAATAACATCAAAGATTATGAATTTATACCAGGTTCGTCGAAGACACAAATTAGCCCACAATATTTTTATTACTAAGCATAAAGCACAAAAGAACTTCATTTGACTCTAAAATCCCAGATTGAGATTTCAGTGGTTAGTGGATAGAGAACACATTCTTTTATTTATAAATCAATTGCCAATGAAAGGGAAACTATATGGCATGCACTAATACACCAAAATTCAGCTGTGGTTAAGGTATGTGCCCACATTCTTGTTCTACCACCACCCTGGAACTGTGGGTAACACAGGTAGAAGAGCACAGGCTTTAGCACACGCCTGTGATTAAAATACCTCCCCTAGGTCCTGGACTCTCTCATCGGTAATATGTGCTTGAACCTGAACTGCTGCACCTTCATTCTGAGAGAACATTTTAGCAGATTCTCTTTTCCAGAGAGACATAGCCTTTAGAAATCCCAACACTCCCTAGAGCTCCAACATTTAAAACAACTTTTCTCCTAAGCAAGAGAGAGTGAAGCCAAATGTGTCCAAAGGGGGTTAGCTGTGTGCATGAGAGATCAATCGTCAAAACTTTCCCAGACTGCAGGATCTCCTGCTGTGGGATAATTACTTCACAAGGGAGGAAGCATATTTCTGGTTAGTGCTCTTCTGGTTAATAAAGTAACAAAGCTTAACAAAGGCTGATACACTTTTAAAGATGCAAGTTCATATAAATACAAATACTAAAGTTTCTTCTCCAGCCACCAGAAAAATAGAAGAGACTGCATGAGCTACAACAATAAATGGATCAGAAGATCCAAATAAAAATACTGGAAGGCACTTAATACTGGAAGGCAGCTAGGAAATACATTTTTATCATAAACTCATTTGGTCTTCCAACTAGGAGAATCGACGTGAAAGGATCTTGTCAGTGTCTGAATCACAATGTCCAACTCTTATTGCAACAGCAGTTTTTAATTCGAGGAGATGCTTGTCTGAGCAATTAATGGTTTATGTACAAAAATACAGTTGGTTTCACTGGTGTTACAGTGGCACAACACTGGCATTAACAAATGGATATTTAGGCCTTCAGGTGGTAAGAACACAGTAACTCTATTAATTCCAACTTTGCTTCCACACAGGTTGTAAGAAGCGCAGGACCTGAGGTCCAATGTTTAACCATTGATTACTAGAGGGAAGGTCTGTGGGTTGCTGAAAAGCCAAATGGTTCAGAGACATTTTCAGGTTTCAGAAACATCACCTGGGAGGATCTTTTTTAGTTCCAGCATTTTGATTGTTAACAACCTCCACTTCCTGTATTTTCAAAACACAATGCAGTTAAAAAAAAAGTATCACTAGAAAGATATTAAAATATATAGGTAATAGCAAGTTATCAGGCAGTTATTACTGCTTTAATATAAAGAGGAGTAAGAGTTATGTGGCTGCGCTAATTTTATTCTTCCTTCTGCAGATGAATGAAGATTTTCTGTCTTAAAACATTTGCATTTTCCCCTCCCCAAGTAAT